TAAAATCATGTCATAAAAATAAATGTTATAAATCGAACTTATGCCTCTTTTTTTGTCCTAAGGTATGAGATCATGCAGTCCTGCTGGCTCCCTCCATCACAGCGGCCCTCTGTAGCCGAAATATTCCTCCTCCTCTCCTCTCTCCTGGCTGCAGAGCGGGGAATGTCAAAGAGAAGCGTGGGGGAAGAGGACGAAGAGGACGAGGAGTATGAAGAGGGCAGAGGAAGAAGAGGAGAGAGCGATGAGTCGTTTGAAAGACGCTGGGATCTACTTCGCCCACCTGCATTTCAGTGTGCACTAAACGAGCGACACAGAGACAGAGAATACAGCAGGGACAGTAGAGATAACTCCTACCCTCTGCTGGACCCTGTTGGAAACTGCATCACCCCATCCTCCTCTGAACTGGATGACATCCTCACAGTTACAGAAACTAGCAAAGGCTTGAACTTTGAATATTTCTGGGAGAAAGCTCATGCCAGACGAGGTTATAAGCCTCTCCCTTCCCCTCAGCCAATTCCAACTGTGAATAACAACCACAGACAGTCTTTAGACACCCCCACTGTGGTGCCTGTCATAAGTGCCCGCAGTCCCTCACTCGCAAGTGAGTACTACATTAGACTAGAGGAGCATACTCCTCAAGACAAATCACCAACGCTTAAAGGAAAATCACAATCCTCCTCAGTTTGTCCTGGTGATGTGGAGCTTGTGGAAATCCGTAGTGGAATGTTGGGAAAAGAACGAGTCCCCTATAATGCATCAGATAAAAGCGGTAAGACCCTCCAAACCATCCGATCAAGCGAGGTGAAGATCCAGGTACCAAACACTGGGGTGGCCGAGTTTAGAGACACTTCAAGCAGAGTAACAGACTTCTCAGTGGTTGATCTGGGTGATGAAGATGATGATGATGTGGAGAGAAAAAAGAGCAGGGAAGAAGATAAAAATTCTCCCACATCATTCCAGGCTCCAATGCTCCCTCCCAAACCCCGGTCCATGTCCATGTCTTCGTCCAATCCCCTTCACTCCCGCCCCCTCCCAGTGCCTCCACTCGGGTACAGAGGACTTCCTCACTACACCATTGGTGGAAAGATCGAGACAGATCCCCTCCACATGAGCTCCTGCCCCCCGTCTACCTTTGATCACCTCAGCCTCCATCGGTCCAGACAGACTCTGCCTCCCTCCCCGTCTCTCTCTCCCTCCATTCCCCCATCCAGCCATCCAATTTATCCACAGATGTGTCCTCCACCTTTACCCCCACACTCCAAACCTCAACGCAGCATCCCGAGCTACAACACGGCCGACAGATACTTAAGATACACAAAGACGCAAATGCAAAGATCCAACAGAGACCCGCTATCCTGTGACATATCCAGTAGAGAAGCTGACAGAAGACATGCAGCATCAATCCACAAATCTAAAGAGAATTCTCAACCCCGTGTAAAAGACTTTGACTCCCCAATTCGTAGGGAAAATCCTCTACGGCCCATCTATCGAAACCTACCCCGCCCTCAGCCTGTAAACTCCCCGATTGAGAGGCAGTCCTCGTCTAGTCCCACTTATTCAGATGAGGACGACTGTCCTTTTGGCTCCCCCGAGAGACCCAGTAGCCAGACTACTGTTGCGCACTCCAGCCTGTCAGAAGATGCAGACCCAGCCACTACTGAGCTCTTCTCTAGGGGAATGAAGAGGACCCAGTCACGACTGGACACTATTTTGCCCACCATTTGGAGAGAAGATGCTGAACTTCAGGCAGAACTGGTTGCTGCTGCCAAGAAGTCTCCCATGCACCTGTTTCTAACTGAGATAGCAAGTGTGACAGAGTCTAGTGAGGCCAAGTCAGAGGGCTTGTGCGATGAGAAGGAGGAGAGTAAAGACAAAGAGAGATGGGGGAACTTTGTGCTACACAACAAAGGAATGCGCCGCTCCCAATCACTGATTACAGAGATAGGCTCAGCGGGACAGTCAATTGGACAGGATAAATACTTCCAAAGGACAGGAGTTGAGGAGGACAAGGCATCATTCCAAGGAGATCTCTTTCTCACAGAGGTTGACACAGACAGGATGGAGACGGATATGGATGCAGAAGGTGATCCAGTTAAATACCTCTATCCTGCAGGGTCCAGGTTGCGCCCCTATGTTTGCACGTCTGACCTCCCTTTGAACAGAGAAGCTGAAGGAGTCAGCACAAAAGGTATACGAAGGTCCCGATCCCTTTTGTCCGAGAGGGAGAAGCAAGAATCTGAAATAGATTTAGTGGAGGGTGAGCCACAAAGAACAGAAATGACCAGGGAGGAGTTCCTACGAGAGATCCAATCAGCTGAGACCTTTTTGACCGAAATCATATCAAGGCAAAATACTACACCAAACAAAGAGGAATCAGATCTATCTACCTCCCCTACTCCACTTTCACCCGAATATGAGTCCATTTGCATTGACCCAAACTCCACTCAGACCATCACATTCCAGTCAGAAAGCTCCATACGAGCATCCAGTAAGGGTAAAGAAGAGACACAGACTGAGGCCATCTATGCGCAAGTGACAAAGCGTGCAAAGAAGAGCGAGATCAAAGTCTCCATTAGACCAGAAATCCCCATTCTCCACATAGGATCAAACAAACAACCGCTTAAACCATGCAGCCAAGAAAATCATGCCGATCACTGCCAAACTGGAGAGTTTGTGCTCTCTGAAATAATGCCAAAAAATGGTTTATTGCACAGCGAAACTGATGAATGTCAAAAAGAAGAGGACTGTTCAGATGGACCTGCCCTACCTGCCCGAGGGGAACTAACAGATCCTTCAGAGTTCTCTCCTTCTGAATCCACTGATTCCAACACTGTGATACCATCGGAGATCAGGTCTGTCTTGAAAAACCAAACAGAGACTCCTACTGTTGTAGAGAATGGTGAAATTATGAAAGATAAACTACAGGACTGCATATTTAAGATAAATGGTCAAACAGAGGTGAAATCTGACACTGTGCCACTTGATATTGTAGCTAATCTGGAGAAAAATGAAGAAAATGCATTTCAGAATAAGTATATTGATCAAGAATGGCATAATATGCAAAATGAACCTAGTTGTGAAGTCCCTCTGAACACTCCAGATCAAGACCTGTCCTCGGATATGTCCCTCATCACTCCCACTGACTCTGTCTTGTCACCCTTGACCTCTGGCTCAGTGGATGGCCTCACGCCCAGTGATTCCTGGACTGGAGCTGGAGGCGGTGGTGGTTGGCGGGCCCTGGGAAATGAGACTCCACATCGAGACTCTGCCTATTTCTCTGACAATGACTTAGAGGGTGATGGGATCAACAGGAGGAGCAGTGACGGGCAAGGGTCCAGGCAGAGCGGCGGCCGAGGGGGCGAGCGAGGAATACTCACAGGGATAGAGGAGAAAACTGAAGAGGAGGTAGAGGCTGGAGAAAAGAGCCCCTTACAAAGTGCTTTACATGGACCATGGACCAAAGCAGGATTTGAAACAGAAAAGACTATTGAGAATTGTGAAAATGATTTTAACTATTTAGAAAGCAACAAAGACATACTAAATAAAGGGCTTGAGGCTGTGCATAGAGACGATTCAGGAATTTTTCACAATCATGAGAGCAAAGGATCCACGTTGCTGCAAGATGATCCTCAAGTTAAGGACTGTGTTGACTTAATTGATAAGCTGTTTTTCAAGTTGGAGGAAGAACCTCTAAAGAGCCTTTCTCACAGTGGTAAGAATGCGATAGACAGTCACTACACAGATGGGATCATTTCCAAGATAACAGATTACAAATGCATTGAGTCTGAAAAGAGCAACCTGAATTTGCACTTTGAGAGTCCCAGTGGGTGCTTTCTCGCCTCTGTCTCTAGCAATGTTGGGCCAGATGTAGGAGAACTCACTGCAATGAGATCTGGCAATGCAACAGTGGAATGTGAGTCTATGTTTTCCAAACAGAGCAAATTTCATACCAATAATGATTTGCATAGCGATGGAGAAGTCACTCTGAGTGTCCTGCGCACCAGACACGGTGACGAAGAGATGGCTGGTCTGGACCACAATGAGTTGGGAATGAAAGACATTCAATGCTTAGAGAGGAGAGTAGATACCGAGGTCAGAAGGGAGCGTGATACACATCGAGCCTCTGCAGACTATCACGAAGGGCCAGAGTTGATGACTGAAGACTGGTGGAGTGCCTTGGAGGAGGATGAAGAAGCACCACCATCTGGAGTTGTTTCTGGAGAGCTTGACTGCCACCGCTTGGAGCAATCAGGGGAACAAAATAATCAGTGGGCCTCTCCAGAAAAAAAGCAACAAGAAGTAGAACTAAAGTCAGAAACTTTTTCTGAGTTAAACAAAAGGAACTGGGGATTGCTGGAGATGCAAGAAGAACTTGAAGAAAACAATGAACTTGCAGGAAGGGAGCCACACCCTTCTTCAGTAGAGTGGAGAAATGAAGTCAGGATCAATGAAACACAAGAACTGAGTTGCAGTCTTGCTCTATGTGGAATAGAAGGGGACTGTGAAAAATCAGTTAATAAGCAGTCTGCAGCGGATATCCAGCAAGAAGAAAATATTGAGAATCTGGAAGAAATCGATACTTTTCAATTTGACAAAATGAAAAAAATCAGTGATATTGAAGTAGAGAATTTGGAAGCTCCAGGGGAAGAAAGGGTTATAGAAAGGCTGGTTCAGGATAGAGGATGTTCAACAGACAGGGAGGAGAATCAAAACTTTAACAGTCTGACACAGAGTCAGCTCTACAGAGATGGTCAGGCACTAACAGGACACATCAATTCGGAAAACCTCTTCAGCTATACTTTCCAGAATAATGGCTTAAGTACATCCACCAGCATCACCGAACCACCTCAAGGTAACTCCTCCCACCTGGAAAATGGTGAATCAAGCTTCCAACAGGAAGCTGATCCAAAGCCAAATCTCACTGCAATGCCCATGGAGGACGGTCCTCAAGAAGATAATGAGGATGACAGAGAAGTTGCCCTTCAGTCCAGTCCCAGTACCTTTGATGTACAGGGAGGGAGGAACCCTTCATATCAAGAGGTAGACAACTTTAGCTCTGTTGATTTCCCGAGCCCCCCGCAGAGCATAGACCTTGATCTGCAAGATTATAAACTGGAAAGTTTAGACGACTCTTTTCCTAGTCCGCCATCATCTGTTATAGAGGCAGAGGAATTTATTACTCACATAAATCTGGAAGACTTCAATGCTGAACCAGAGACAGAGTCATTTATTTCCCCAGCGATCAACACAGATATCTTGCAGCCATCTTTGCAAGAACTACCACCAGCTACAACGCAGAATAAAGGGATCTCTGCCAACCTGAACCCCCCATCTGTACACATAACCCTGACTGATGACAATAACTTTACTTCAGATATTGAAGATGTGTGTCACAATTTTATCCAGAAAACCTCACCTGCTGTTCCTTCTACCCAACAAGATCTCCTGAATAACATCCCAGCATTGTTGATATCCGAGTGGAAAGATCTGGATGAGGAACCGCTAGAGGATTTTGAAAAGCTGGAGCAACTTTGTTGCATCTCAGAGGATGAGGAGAATACACTGGGGGAACTGTTCTTGGGGAACGTGGAGCTTCTGGAGTCTTGGAAGAAAACATCTGATAAAAAGTGCAACGATACAGAAGCGGATGATGACATCCTTTTCCCTGAGGGTGACAGGGTCGATTTAAAGAAAGTTGACGCCTTAGATAACAGCAATAAGCTGGTTGAACCCAAGCAAAACATCTTTTCTCAACCAGTAGAGAAGATTGATGAGCAGAAATCATCATCATCATCTGATGTCAAAGATCAGGGATCTTTATCAAAGATGACAACTAGAAATGGCCTCATGATGCAGGTGGGTGTCCTGTTTAGACATGTATTCTAATTTCTAACATGTTCTTTGCTGATTCTTCTCCTTTACTGGGGAATTTTGACATTGCAGGTGTGTGAAGAGAGGCTGCAGTTCTCCCTCAGTGAAAATGTGAAAACAAAAATGCTTTGGGGTTCAGCTGTGAAAGAGACAGTGACACTTCGGCCCTGGGGGGAACAAGTCGAGGAAAGCTGCAGTGGACCAGAGGAGTACCAAAGTCAGGATGAGAGGTACTGAGGCACAATTTAACACCTTCGTAGGAAAAGGAGAACTTCAGGGATTTAGATCAAAGCACTAAGGGTGCCTCAAGTTCACCTGACTAATTTTACATTATGAGACCTGTTTCTACAAACTTACCTTTATTTGATTGGGATCCTATGAAGTAGACAACCAGAACGTCATAATGCAAAAATAAATTTGAGTATAGCATGCATTTTAATTCACTCCAGTAACTCTGATACATCTCACTGATGTAATGTGTTTGTAATCACAACATAAAGCTGTTTTTTAAAGCCCCTGAGGTTTACTAAAGGCATGAGTAAACAACCAGCATCATGGAGACCAAAGGACACAGTATGCATCCCAAACTTTAAACATCTCTTGGAGCACTTTTCATCATCATAAGATGATGGAAATGGTTTGGCTCAAGTGCAAATGTACCAATTCATTGCTTTGACACTCGGATGAAGACTGATTTAAAAAAAATAATACGAAAACAAATGACTCATGGGAACTGTGGAGTAACAGCAGAGATTAACTGTGCTTCTTTTCAGCCCACAACTGTTCACACCACAAAACATGGTAGTGGTAGCATCATGCTGTGGGGTTACCTATTTTTAGCGGAGACAGAGTAAGCTTCTAATATTTGAAGGTAAAAAGGACAGAAATGCATACAAGTCGATCCTAGAAAAAACCTAATAGAAGATAACTCCAGACAGGGCTGGAGGTTCCTCTACCACAGGCGCCCTCAATCCCAGCCTACATGGACCAGTGTCCTGCAACTTTTAGACGTATCTTTGCTTCCACACATGTGTCAAATTATCATATCCTTAGCAGGATTCTGCAGAACTTGACAGAATGAGGAGGTAATTCAGCGACTTGATTCATGTGTGGAAACAGAGACATCTAACAGGTGCAGGATGACCTCAAAGGCCACAATTGAGAAAGCAGGATCTAGCAGGGCAACAATCTTAAAAAAGTCAGCACTACATTGGATGGGTTTGGATCACAGGTCTCATAGTTCGGTCCTCATGCGTTGTCTCCATCAACTTTAAAAGCATCAACACACCCGAATTACATAATTAGGTCATTGGCAGAACTTAAGGAGGTGATCTGGTTCTTTGATTTGATTCAGATGCTCTGGACTTGGAACACATCTAGAGGAAAATGAACAATGGCCCCTTTCAGGACCATAGATTGACACCAATTTCTACATTTAATTCAGATTTCCTGGCTAAAACATTCTTAAAAACTGACTTCCATACATAATGCAAAGCATGATATGTTGCTCTGTCATTTAACTCCCAGCTGCCCTTAAGAAAAATACATTAAAGTTTGTGGTATCAATGAAACCTCGTGGAAGGATAAAAAAAAAAACATGTATGGCGGTGCACAGGTAAGCCATAAATTATTAAAAACCCAAAAAACAAATGCAACAGAAAAACACTGCAAACGAAAAACACTGTGACTTATTTATTTTTGTGACACTTTTAATGAATGAAGGTTTTTTTTTTTGCTGAATTTTTTTTTTTGATAATATAGTTATTTATCTAAAGCTTTTTTTTTTCAAACTGAAAGCTCTACAGATGTTATTAAGCCTCAGCTAGTCTGAAGCATTGAAAGTGAACTCTGTGATGTGCTTGAGAATCTGTTGCTAATTTCAAGAGCTGCTCTTCTTCATTTTCACAGGCAGCATGTTGCCACTTTTCTTTTACTCTCCTTCTCTGTGGGAAGCCACAACCCCTTTGCTGCAATCCACTCTAAATTACAGCTTTTGATTAAGATTTGAATAGCTAAAGGGTAAAAAGGACACACAAATAACAAGAACTTTGTTCTATTTCTTTGCACATAAACCATTGTTGCTACATTTGTGTTTTGTTGTAGTTTTGAATAAATACATACATCAAAATGATTCAATAAAACAAAAAGGGATCAGCAATTAAATATTATCATGATATGAAAGTAATTTAGTTACAGGTAGATATATTACTAAGTTAGAAAGTTACTTTCTTTTTTTTTCAGCCAAGAGGAGGAGGAGGAGGAGGCTGCCTACAGCCAACAGCCACAAACTGAGTCTGATAAAACTGAACCAGAGCCACTCACTGTGATTGAACAACCTGAGATCATCGCATCTCAACCTGCCGCAAACCAGGCAATGAAAGGTATCATCATGTTGCAACACATTCAGAGCAACTTCCTATTTTACTTTAGTCATTATCCCATTCTAACATGGCTTCAGCTTCTTTTATTTATGTAAACTGACCTCTTTCTATAGAAATTCAACGTCTTGTTAAATAGTTTTACAGACAGAGTAATTTTCAATGTATTGTACATTTTTCATCATTTGATTTATACTTTCATTTTAATCGTTTTTTTATTTGTTTACTTTTGATTGAGTGTCACTATTCCACAGAGGGCGATGAAGAATGTTCTCAAAATAGACGTCCTAAACTTTCACAGGCAGGCTGCACAAAGGCTCAGCAAAGACGGCGCTTTAATGAAGCTGAGCAACCCGTAACAAAGTGTGTAGCTGACAGAAAGACAAAGTATCTGATAATGGAAACCAGGGGGATGTAGTGAGAGAAACAATGACTCAGTGGATGCTACCACAATCAAAGGACGAAGCACTGGAACTAATTTTACAACGTCGAGTTGAACTAGAACATTTTGTTTAAGGTACAAGTGGTGAACCACTTTATCACATAGTTGCTAGTAATAAAAAAAAAAAAACCTTATCTAACATCAATAAAGAACACCGGCAGACCCAACTTAATACATTAATCAGTATTTTATTGTATATGTTCTTATTAAATAGTAAACTGTCGATGTTTACATGTCAGGTCATTGCCATCTGCTGACCAGAGCCAGAACTGCTCTGCAGACTAGTCAACATGTGGGTCCTATGAGCAACTGCTGACCTGTAGAATCTACCAACACAAATATAGAAAGCTGTCATTGTATTTATTCAATATCAGATATGGTGTATTTTTTCCTTTACCAAATAACAACAGTTAGGTTAATATTTTAAATGCACCAACTTACAGTTCATACTTTTAGATGTCCAGCAGCTTTAAAATTGACATTTTCATCCAGCTATAAAGTGTAAAGTATGACATCTTCTCAAACAAAAAAAAAATAATAATTGTAAAATACATAACAGCATGACTTTGGTTGAGTTGAATTAAAATTGCCAAAAGAGATACTATTGTCAAACTATCGAGAGCAGTCAGTGATAAACAAAAAAACAAGTTTTTAAAGTTTCACTGTTCCTTCTAAAAAAATTCCTATGATCAGTACTTAAGCCCAATTAGAAAATATAAAAAAGGTTTTTTTTTAAATAAACAAGTACAAAGATAACATCATTTTTTCCTTGTTGAAGCAAAAACATAATTTATAGATGATTTTTAATTTGCAAAGAAGGAAGCCAATTACTGCACATCTAAGGCCCTACCAAAACTATCAGCAATAAAATCAACGCAGATACAGTTTTTTTTATAGATTTCTATAGAGTAATGATCCAATAATTACCCAATAATTACTAAATTATTCAACTAGTAAGATTTCTTTCCTCCCAAAACTCTATATTTACCTCATTCCATATCATGTCAAACTCTGCTCTCTCCTGATCCTGCAGCAAAACTAGCTCGTCTGTCTCTTGCCCTCCCTCCCCTCGCCCTGAATCTCCCCCTCACTCCGAGTGGGAAAGGGGGATTTGGAGACGGCTCCATCGGAAATCGCATCGGCAGACGAAGGGGCCTGTCGTCAGGAATCGACCCTGACGATGAAGAGGAGGATGAGCAGGAGGACGAGAACTCCCGCAGGGTGATTGTTGTCACGGAGACGGATGTGGACAAACGGATTGGGCTGAGGAGTCTGCTAAAATCACCCAAGGAGTCTTTGGACAGGGAGCGGGACAGAGGAAGGAACGTGTCCTTCTTTGATGATGTCACAATCTATCTGTTTGATCAGGTACTTCCTGTTTGTTTTATAGTAGATGTAATAGTGACTTTGATTTAATGAGTCTCTGCTTCTTTGCAACAGGAAACTCCAACCAATGAGCTGAGCAATTCAGCTCCTACTAGTCCAGGTCCAGTCTCTGTCAAAAGCAGCAAATTGGACTTTCATGGTGAGTTATTAAACACCTTATGTCCATGAAAAGACACAGAGCAAATAGGGAATGTCACCCTTTAGGTGATTTGTTGGACTATATCATGCAAAGCGTTGTACTTTTGGAACAGTTAGGTTTAACCTTGGGGTGAATAACAGTAATGAAATCCCTTCCCACTGGAAAAGAGCCTCTTCATTTTCCTGATCTTTTATTCAAACGTGCAGCCAAAATTAATCTCCCATAATCACGCCCCTCCTCCTCCCGATGTTGTGGCATTTGGCGCTGAGCTGGAACACTAATCCTGAACTCAACAATGCATGTCCTTAGCTTCGTTTCCCCCTCCAATACGTTTTTGGATTGCTTGTTTAAATTGTGCTCTCCACTTTGTAAACCCATTACCTTATATCGCAGCAAAATGTGAGTCAGTGCTCAGAATGTCTTTTGCCCTCATAGAAGCACCAAAATAAAAGACTTAGATCATCGCTCAGGGCTCTTTGGAGTGAAGATTTTAAGGCTTGGAGAGAACAGGCTACGTTTTCTTTGAGTTATTTTTAAACTAAAACTGCCTTTTTTAGTATCAGTCTATTAGCAGATGTTGATACTTTTTTTCTACTCCAGCATTCGGTTAGGCACATATTTATTGTCACATGAATTAAACTTTATAATTCAGACAGGTAGAGTCAGAAATTTACATACATGTGTCAGTAATTTTAAACTTTTAATTAATCATTTGAACTGTTCTTTTTTACACTAAACCGATTAAATGGGGACTAATGTCATTAAAGAAAACACAAATGGAGCAAAGATCTAATTCCATATCCAAATATAAACACACAATCTTGCTTAAATTTTAGTAAATTCCTGAGAGATTACTCAAAATATTCAGCTAGTTGAAAAAAAACTCTATTTATGAACAGACCTGGCTGTTACACAAAATGTTAGCCTGTATTATTTAATCCTAAACCACTTTGATGTGTTTTGACATTATTCTGCTGTAAACCCAAAGCATGTCCAAGGTTATAGTATCTAGCTGCCGATATGAGGACAAGTTAAGGAATTTGAAAGTGACCTTCCTTATTTATTCTGCCCTCTTTGTTCAATGCACCAACCCAACTACGGTACACACTCTGACACTTCCACCACCGTGTTTGTTGTTTAGCACTATTTATTTCGGCTCAAAATTCACATCTTCAAACCTCCAGACATCCTACATGTTACGTGTGGTCAAGCTGCTCCGTCTGCTCTGACCATAAAACGTCCCTCCAGCAGCCATTGGGCCTGTACATAATGACAGCCACTCATTTTAGTCAAGCTTAAAAGTATTGTTTTTAAAGCCGCAACCTCTTTCTTTATCTTAACCCCGACTGGTGTCCAGCAGTGTTCACCAATGGTTTTATAATAGCTCTTTAATAGACTGACCAGTCGACTTCAATCTTAAAATGATGGTTGCGGTAAGGTGATTGAAGCTTGCATGTCTTAGAGAATTTTAACAGGATATTGATTCCAAACAGGCATGAACAGTGGCTGTGGAATAAATAAAACCGCCAAACATTAACTGCTGAAAATGTTTTCTACAAGCCAGTTTCATGCAAAGAAAGGAAAGAGGAGAACTAAGGTTAGTGACCACGTCTGTCTGGCGGAGGATGATAATTAACATGTGAGTCACTAAGCTAGTCTTAAAGTTCAGTCCTTGCCCAGAGGATAAGGTCGGTTCCAGCCAGTTGTCTGCCAACAAGACATGGCGGGCGCCGCCCAGAGAGTCCCAGATGTTGATGTCCCGGTGGTAAGAGGACAGACAGGAGATCAGAATCGAGCAGATGAAGGAAGTCAGGATAATCCAGAGGGCAAAGCCAAAGCCAGTGTCGAAGACATGCTAGGGAGCCAGAGCCAGGAGATCAGAGATCTGAGGAGGTACCGAAGGGAAACAACTCCACATTTGGTACACCGACAGGCAGAGATCCTGCAAGAGTCTGAAGACAGGTCAGGCAAACAGATCAGAGCGGGGGCAGGCAGGCTCAGAGGTCCAGAGGCAGAACGGGTCAGGATCAGGCAGACAGAAACACTCAGGTACGCTAGAGAACTCCCACTAAAGGCTTGAATAATCTGGCACTGATTACTGGTTAGAAGGCTGTTCAAATAGTGGCTGAAGCAGGTGGATCAGATGAGCAGTAATGAGAAGTGGGCGGGGATGGGCAGGTGGGTAAAATGAGTACTCAGACCAGTAATCGGTGCTAAGATCATGACATAGCAGCTTAATTGAAGTTTCTCCTGGCTTTATTATGTTTATCCTCTACATGTAAAGTTTATCCCTGGGTACTCCTGCTTCCTCCTAAAGTCCATTACATCTGTGTTAGGGTGCCAAGAGTCTAAGATATAAATGATGATGTGCCCTTGGTTGCTTCACTGTTGATCTTTTTGTTTTCCCTGTGATAGACTGCCTCACTCACCATTGTTGATAGCTGTGTTTGTTCAACAAGGCCAGTGGACGCGGAGTTTGGCTCAGGTCCATCAGTCAGCTATCTATCCATGACCCTGATGTTGGAGAGTTAATCAAACTTCTTTTTTTCTCTTCATCAGGACCAAACAAAAGCAAGGAATCAAAAAGAAAAGAGGATCTATCAATCAAACCACGGTCGCCCGTCGGAAGTGGCTCAAAGACTTCATCCCGCTTTACTGTCAGCCCCGCCGACGACCCCCACTTAGTGTGACGTGGAAAAAAAACATCTTCAAGTAAACCTTTGAAGCCGAATCCCCTTGAAGTGGGGAGTGAATTTACCCAACAACCAGCCATTCACCCAGAAGATATTTTTTTACTGAATTCGGAACAGACTCTGATTTTACCAGCTGGACACATTCCAGGTTTTGTCAGCGACTGGATTTTGTATGAAAGGAGGGTTGCTGAGCTCCTGTCTGTCACTGTTTACAGAGTTTATCCTTAGCCTTTGGCTACAGATGTTTTTGGAAAAGGATAAATATGTCGGGAGAAGAAAAAAAAAAAGCAAAACAAAAGGAACCTGGAGCTTGAAAAATGTGAAATAAATCTGACAGCTATGCAGTGGGAATCTTGTTGTGTACCAGCTTACCTTCTCTTTTTCTGCTTTATTCTGTTGTATAGTTCCCTAGCCGTTAGGTGGGGGGGATGCACTTTCTTCAGTCACTCATCTGTCCATGTAAATGCTTGGATTCTAAACCAGTCTCTATTAAAGAGGTTTTCCGTCCTTCAGCAGCTGTTCCAGTAGGCAGCAGCTTGAAATGGACTCCTGTATTTAAAGATACTTCTCAGCATTTGTACAAATACCATAATACAAGTGTATACAATATTGTTTTAGGGCTTTTACTTTTAGATGTAAACTTTGGACTGCACGGAAACTAATTTTATTTATTTATTTATTATTTATTTATTTATTTATTCACTCTTTTTAGTTAATGGTCAAACTTCTGATTATTTTTAGATGGAATGCATCTAAGTTATAGGTTCTCTAAGGTCTTAACAAATGAGTAAAAAAATATTTTCCCAAACGTCTTAATTGCTAAGAAGAAATAAAAAAAATGAGTATTTTGTATAATTTTACTTGTCAATATATGCCAATCTGTACTGTATGGATCTAAGTTCTGTTTCGGTTTTTCCTTTTTTCTTTTTTCTATTTTTTTTTTGCCAAGTCAAAGATTTTTAGCAGTCTTGTCATTATGATTATTTTATAATAGTTTAATAACAGTTAATGTAGCTTAGTCCCAGAAATCAAAGCTTCTCTTAAGTAAGTAGCTCCATTTGTTTGTGCATCTGTTAATTTATCCCATTTTCTACTAACTGCAGTCGATCATGCGGCACAGGTCCTGCTAGTCTGTTTGTTCGGTCTGTTTAAATGTTGGTTTAAACTTGTGTTGTTTAAAATGCTTTTCAGACGGGATGATGTATAAATAAGGGGGGAAATAAAGGTTGAAAAAAATCTGAATGTTTTTTTTGAACTGTTTCATAATTCAATTCAATTAAAATAATCCTTTATCAATCCCAAAGGGAAATTAAATGTTATATGACATGGTTTGTAAGCGAAAAGTGCTTTTATAATGGGGTATGTTGGGTTGACTAACTTTTTTATCTTATAAAAAACACAATATAGGGGTGTGCTTCATTTATATAATCATAGAGTATTTTCCTTAAAGACACCTGCTGCATCTTTGTAGAATGCAACAAATCATAACTTCTGCTTCTATGACCTACAAATGTAACCATACTTAACTGAAGGAATAACCCTCAACATACAACAAGAGAACCTGCACAATGAGCCGTGTCCAAAACAACTTTGGTACTGCCACAAGGAAAGATCCACAGCTGATGTTTTAAACATTGATTATGGTTTAAATTAATTCAAAATTCTGTTGATAAAATATAAAAGTGACAATTTATCAAAAGTTGGTTTCTTACTCAATAATGAAAACAATTCAATCCTCTAAACCAAGGATCCACAAACATTTCAGCCTGTTACCTCAAGAATCACAATGCAACAGACTGGTGGCGCCTTAAAAATACATATAATACCTAAAACGCTATATTTATTCATACATATATAGTGATCTAAATATATTCATTTTTAATAAATCAATTTATTGATAACATTTGAATATTTCATTAATTTGTTTTATGAATTTTTAATTAGTTAATTAGTCGGATTTCTCTATATTTTCCCTAATTTAAAAAAGCAATATGTTTTGAGTATTTTTGGCATTCTTTCTTCAGACAGGGAAAATTTTTTGGAACTCCTGAACAGGATTACTTAAAAGCTTCAGAAATAAATCCACACTTTTTAAAATTTGAAATAATAACAAGAAAAGCACTCTGAGAGCGCAGACCACCAAGCTGCAAATTTTGCCCCATATTGTGACCATCTATAGCTAAAGCTTGCTAAGGATCTGGATCATTATCAAATCTAGATCAATTGTTATTTGTCATCCGTTCATAAGTTTTCAATCGATCCAGATAACAAACTAACAAGGTTCCATTTTCTTGTGTTTTTGTCTCCTGTAAAATAGACTTTTTGAGGCCGATGCTGAGGCTGTCAATACCCACTGCTGCCACCCTCTGGTTTAGTGGGGAATTGCGTGTTCCGCCAGATATCCCCATCTCGTGTCTTTTTAAAAGATAATGTATTCAGATGATCTGGATCCTAACCAAATTCTGGCATATATTAACAGGTAAATTTAATAGATTGTTCCTATCTGACCTTCTGGGTCTACTCCATTACCCACAACCCAACGGGAAGTTGTTACGTATTTAACCTGCGACCAGAACGTCTCCATAGCGCAACTCTTACCGGATTGATTGTATTCGTTGAAAAATAAATCTCGTTGGTTTCTCCCGCTGCTCTTTAGTTACTAATATCTTGTCAGGTGGAATTTAAGCCTCCGAGGTAAGCTGTTTAATAAACTTCAGCTAATGTCAAACAAATGTTTGCTTAGCCTAGCTCGGCTAACACGATTATAGCAACGATAAACACACGCGTTTCTAATGAGAAACGGGCATATAGGCTTGTTTCCGCGTTTATGGTGTTATTGGTTTATCTGTGGTGATTTAAAGGTTACAAACGTGTACCATAGTGTTGCTTAACAATTGTCACATTGCGTGATAAAGGAAGAAACTGCACTTTTCATTTTAACTGACACTTTGTCCATTGAAACTGAATAAAAATGTCACTTGATATTAATAATGTCTGGATAGTCACCTCACAAAGAAATTGAAGTATCTGACTTCCACCAACCGATGGAAACTGGTGTACATTCCTTAAACGCATCAGATGCTTGCAGGTCCCTTCCCTTTGTTGTCTAAAGCAGCTTTTTATGTATAATCTTATAGCACTTTTAGCCGTTGTCTGTATAAATAAAATTGGTTTGATAGATATACATTCAGTGGATAAACTAGGTCTAAAAATGTTGGTTTCATAGTCTAAAATATTTTCCACTGTTGTAAAAAAAGGAAAAAATGTTTTTCAAAGATTGCTTTACATGATTAAAAATCAAAGGAGCTGCATACATTTAACAATCACACAGGGAAATGGTAGAAGTGGAAACAAAACAGAATAATGCTTTACAGCTCCAGGGACTGACATCTAAAAATATTAAACACTACTTTATCTACAAGAGACAATAATCAAACATACAAATATTCTTTATTTATGGTGATATTTAGATTTGCAACTAAAGAATGTTTTTGTTTCCTAGCAATTTGGAAATGAATGACAACTTAATAAAGAATAAATCCTGTCTGTTTATGGGATGTTGATAAAACATGGAATGGCCCCTCGTTTTTTCAGATGTCTCTAGCTGATGAGCTACTGGCTGATTTGGAGGAAGCTGGAAATGAAGGAGAAGATGGATTGTATCCAGAAGAGGAGGAGGGGGACAGTGATGGAGAGAGGACTCAGGGAAGGATGGAGGCAGGGCTGGAAGATATTCCAGAGGAGATGGAGGTGGATTACAGCAAAACGGAGAGTGTTGCCTCCATTGCCAAGCTCCGCAATAGCAAACAAGTAATTTATTTATTTATTTTTGGCTGTAAATAAGGTAATACTTGTTGTAAAAAAGATTTTAAAAAATCCTAGTTGTGTCTAATTCTGCTTTTTTTTTTCTTTCAAAGTTTTCAGAAATCATGGAAAAAATCTCAGAATATATCGGAAAGCAGCGCAAAAACTCAGATGGTGAGTGTGATCTGTTTAAGACAAATTATTTAAGATCAAATTATTATGATGTTTTAAATTGTTATTTATTAACCCTTTAAGTAAAATGTGATCCCTGTGTGGTGGTTCTTAGTTTCAGGTCCCGTTGAGGCTGATCCAGAATACAGGCTGATTGTAGCAGCCAATAATCTCACAGTGGAGATCGATAATGAGCTCAGTGAGTCACTGTTCAGTCTAACATCATTGGAATGAGTAAAGACACATGTCTGCCTTTGTTATACAAGTTTTGTATTGTTTCATTCCTTTTTTTTGTTGTTGTTGTTGTTGTCCCCAGACATAATCCATAAATTTACAAGAGACAAATATTCCAAGAGGTTTCCAGAGCTCGAGTCTTTGGTTCCAGATTCTTTGGATTACATTCGCACAGTCAAGGTAAAATGGATTGGACTTGTTTAGAGTGTTTTAATTTAATGAAAGCAGACTTTTTTGATTAATACTTCTAATGATCTGTTTATACATCTTTAAATTTATATCCAAACCTTTAGATTTAAAATAGTTTTTCCGCTTACACTTGATAACCTGTTTTCTGTATTGACATTAAACTGAACCAAACCTAACCTAACTTTCAGGTAGAATTAAATTTGATCACTTTGCTGTTTTTTGTTTGTTTCTTAAATTTTCTTCTAATAAAAAATTGTAAATATTCTAAGAACAATATGTTGATATCATGACTGTATAAGATAATGAGGTTCAGCAGGAACATTGGCGTTAAATAAAGGCCCAATTATTGACGTATTTTAAAGCCCAATAACAAGAGGATTTTGGACCTCCACCTGTCGGGTTTATTATTGGGCTCAATTAATACTCCTGAAGGAGCTACGTTCATCTGTTTTTAAAAGGAAACACTTCCTTTACTCACATGGACTAACAGCTTCCTTAGAGAGTCTAATTTAGGTAGTATAATTTTGTGGGAATATATCAACACAGGAAGAAATGGCACACTTTACAAATAAGATTGCATCAGAAGGAGAGAATATGTCCTCTGGCTGAACATTGACCCAAAGTTTATTGACAATTTAGTTTAAACGTGACATTAGTGACACCAGTCCAATTGGAAATCTGTGTTAATCCTGACGCTGTTGCACCAGTTCTTTCAGGAGCAATTGGCCAAATTCCCAGCAAACTGTGGTAAAAAGGATTGTGGGAGGAACCCTGAAATGTTTCACCTAAGTTAAAGTTTTAAGTGCAATTCTGCTAAAAAGTTAGAAAATAAATTTAGATGAATGAACCTGAAGAAAAAGTATCAAAATCATCTGTCATGGATTTAGGAATATTTTGATCATCAAACAGGAGAAGTTTTATTTATCGACAGACAGAGGGATAAAACTTTTCATCCCCCCCCCCCAATAACTATATAAATGCAGCTGAAAAGAATTTTCTCTGATGTCTTTGAAGGAATTGGGAAACAATTTGGAGAAATGTAAAAACAATGAAACGCTGCAGCAGATCCTGACCAACGCTACCATCATGGTCGTCAGTGTCACAGCATCAACTACGCAGGGGTGAGTTTCACTTCTTGAATTGTATGTAGGAATATCAAATCAGTCTCTGCAGCTGGTTAAGATTGTTCAGTGTTTTAATGGAAAACTTCTGTAAAGAGTTCAGCTTAAAGTTTGCGGGTTTTTTCTTTATTTTTTTTCTAGGTCATTGTTGAGTGAAGATGAACTAAAGCAGCTGGAAGAGGCTTGTGACATGGCTCTGGAGCTCAACCAGTCCAAACACAGAATATACGAGTATGTTGAGTCCAGAATGTCATTCATAGCCCCCAACCTGTCCATCATTGTGGGAGCATCCACTGCTGCCAAGATTATGGGTGAGAGGGGGGAAAAAAGGGACCTAATCAAACATTTTATAAAAGCAGACTTTATTTGTTGTTGATCTTTGTTTTCCTCACCGTAGGGATCGCTGGCGGTCTCACCAACCTTTCAAAGATGCCAGCCTGTAACCTTATGCTGCTGGGAGCCCAGAGGAGAACCCTATCAGGCTTCAGCAGTACGTCCCTGCTTCCCCATACAGGCTTCATCTACCACTGTGACGTTGTGCAGTCGCTGCCACCTGTAAGTTCATAAAGTATGCAGTTCCTGCACTGGCAACACGGAACGCTTTATATATCTTTGTTTCCCTCTGAATGGAAACTATGTTGGTTAGTTTTTTTTCTCCCCTCCACTTTAGGACCTGAGGAGGAAAGCGGCTCGTCTGGTGGCGGCAAAATGCACCCTGGCTTCACGAGTGGACAGTTTCCATGAGAGTTCAGATGGAAAGGTTGAAGACATGCCTTTTTTTTTTTTTTTTTTTTTTTACTATAAAGTCCATTAAAGTAACAAAGATTATTAATCTGATGATTGCAAATGTTGTACCCTTGCAGGTTGGCTATGACCTAAAAGAGGAGATCGAGAGAAAGTTTGATAAATGGCAAGAGCCGCCACCGGTGAAGCAGGTTAAACCTCTGCCAGCTCCTTTGGATGGACAGAGGAAGAAGAGAGGAGGAAGGAGGTATGGAATCTGTCAGGAAGGCATGCTTCACACTGTTCAGATGTACAGTATTGTTCTTAGATCGACCAAAAGCCTCATGAAGCCCTTGAACAAGCAGGGATAATTAAATAAAACCTTTTAATTATTTCAAGTCTATCTAAAGTGACTCTAATAACCGGAGCTGTTCCTGCAGCAAATTAAACATTAAACAGTAACAGATCACTGGGAAGCAAAGGCAGCATCAACTCACACTTATGTTCTAAATGCCAGCAAACATCAGTATATCTCGTATTCAAGCATGCTGCTCTGATGTCTTTCCCTGCAGGTATCGAAAGATGAAGGAGCGTCTTGGACTGACTGAGATCAGGAAACACGCCAACAGAATGACCTTTGCAGAGGTGGGTGTTTTTATAGAATTTTATCCCTAAGCTCTGCTTTTAGATATGTGTTTCACTAATATTCTTTATTGCTAAGAAAATGTGAATGAAGTATTTGTAGAATAAATCTCCACACCTTAAAGAAAGGCCTCAGGCCTGTGGAAGACGAATCCTTGTTTCATGTTTAAATTGAATGTTATGTTTTTACTCTTAAAAGTTGTAAGAAATGCTTAAATGTTTTCTGGATTGTGGAGCTGGATGTTAAAGTATTGTATTCAGCAAATGGAAAACATTCTGAGCATTTTGTTAATGTGCTAAAACATGATAGGCACAGTTTACTGGGTTAAATTCATCAAATTTTCTGATGCAAGCATAATTTTAGTGCCATCTTCTAAGTGAGGTTTACTTGGTCCCCAGTGTTTATTAACCTCTTAACATCCACCTCATTTTGGGTAATCCTCGCCTATTTTGCATACCCAAATGAAAAAGCAAATAACTTAGGAACTGTAAGCCCAAATTACATGTGCAATACATTATTTGAAAGCTAAAACCCTCTAGTTTCCTAATTTATAATTTAAAATTGGGTGAGTAGAACACAGACCAACCTGCATCAGTTCAAACATGACTCAACGTTGTTGTTTTTTTTTTTTTTTTATTCTCGAAATGATGGTTCTTTTTTGAACAGCAGTAATGAAGACATTCTGGAGAAAAAACAGGTTTCACTGTATTATATTTGTTCTCCATCATGTCAACCACAAATGCAAAAAAATTCAGACCTCTAGCTATAACAGTTCCAGAGCTGTGGGGTATGGAACTTTAGGTGTCAGCTTTGAGCTGCACACAATGGCTCCACCTGCTGGTAAAAAATTTTACCGGTGGAATTTTATGTATTCGAATTATTACCCCCACTTAAGGTCCACTTGGTCGCCGGAGACCCGGTGGGTTTTAAGAGGTTAATCAGAGAGCCTATGAGCTAATCTCAGACTTTGTACTCCAGATTGAGGATGATGCGTATCAGGAGGATCTGGGCTTCAGTCTGGGTCAGCTGGGGAAAAGCGGGAGCGGCAGAGTCAGGCAGGCTCAGGTCAACGAGGCCACCAAGGCGAGGATCTCCAAATCCCTGCAGGTAAACATTGCTCCACTTAATCGATATAGTTTTCTCTTTTATTCTCTTTTAGTTCTTATATCATTCTGCGCTGTTTTTTCACCAACAGAGGACGCTGCAGAAACAGAGCATGACATACGGCGGGAAGTCGACAGTCAGAGATCGCTCGTCTGGAACCAGCTCCAGTGTAGCCTTCACTCCCCTCCAGGTAAGAAGAGGGAGCTTCACACTGCTATCCTGTTCAGTTTGAGCCTCTCCTTCAGCTCATCCTGCTGTCGTCTACAGGGCCTGGAGATCGTTAACCCGCAGGCTGCAGAGAAGAAGGTGGCTGAAGCCAACCAGAAATATTTCTCCAACATGGCAGAGTTCCTCAAAGTCAAAAAGGAATCCAAGATGTGAACATTCAGTCCCCTCAGCAAGGCATCACGCTTTTTAATCTGCTTGAATGTTCTCCACTAAGTTTTATTTTTTTATTCCCATTTAGAATAAAATGTTTACTTTTGAGTTTCTGTTTTCCAAGAAATTAAACGTTAATTGTGCTGACTTGTATTTTAAGTGTGTTTAAGATTTACTTTCTGATTGGCTGGCATCTGATGGAAAGGGGTGGAATATATTTTGCAGTGGCCTTACCCCCTTCTGCATTTTTAAAAATTCTACTGAAAAGATCAGTTTAGACAGGAATTTATGCCACAGACTGTTTAATTTCTTAAAAGCATTTATTGAACTTTGTACAATCGTTTATAACCCCAGTTTTGACATCTCCCATGCAGAAATGTAATGAGAAATTCCTTTGAAATTCACATTTTGGGCATTTTTCCTTTCAGAAAACCATAAAAGTTCCCCAAAAATAGAATCTATATGAAGCAGATATCAGAAATCTGCATTTTCTTTTTTCATCTTCCTTTCAAAAGAAACCCTTAAATAACCATACACAATACTTAGTGCTGTACAGATGTGGAGTTCTCATGGTTTCAGTTTTAACAGCTGACCAAGACAAAGTGGTAGCTTGAAAAATACCCACAAGTTAGAAATACCACTGATAATTGAGCATTTCTATATTTAAACTCTACATGTAAACAGCTGTAATCAGCATACATTCACTGTACATGGTTTATTTAAATACAGGAGGTAAATTAAAGTGGGCGTGGGGGAAAAAAAGAAACGAGAACCTGACCCAGCTGAAAGTTTTTATAAGGTAAGCGGTGACGCTACAGGTGCATCTCAATTGGTAATATAACTAAAGATATTTTCAGTAATTTTTTTTCCAGATTAATTCCATGTTTATAGCTGTTAAATTTCAAGATTATAGCTGAATTGATGAGAAACTCTGAAAATTGGAATAAGGCCAAGAAACATTTAAGCTTGAAAATTACAGCTGTTTCCGTCAGATTTGGGTTAAACCACTCCTTCACTATAGATATAAGACGCATCTTACCTGAAGGAAGAAAAACCACTAGTGAAATATGCTTCTAGGTGTAACTCACAAAAAGGATGTAGCAGTAAATGAAGATGAAATGTGAAGTTACATCAGGTATGGTCCAGTTATCAGCCATTAACTTTAACCTACTTAATTGCCCAGCCTTTCTTTGCCTTATTTGACAAGTTGAACCTTGGTTCATTTTTAAATATATTTTTTTAATCTGTCCCTTTAAAATAGCTGTACTTACAAGAAAGTGTTAAAAAAAAAAAGCTTAAATCAATTTTAAAAATATCCTTTAGTGACGATATCTATGCTTCCAATTATGTCTCGATACCTGGAAATATATGAATAGATCTGCTTTAAATTTAGGATGCAATACAAACTAAACTTTCCTTCAATTGCATCTGCAGTTCAGTGTAATTCTTCCTTTAATGCATCAGTAACCTGGAAATGTATGAGGTTAATTTACTTCCTCAACTATGAACTTTTTTTTTTTAAACCTTTGTCTGCAAAGCTGTACAAGGTAATTAAAAACCCTGTGTCCCAGGCAGCAGACTGGGAAACTATTCTAACAAAGGAGGACGGAATCTAGAAATTGTGGGTCTGATGGACACTTGAGCGAAGTGTTAAAATTCCTGACAGTTTGCCTTCAGCATTAAAACGTAGCATAAAATGTTTAAACTGACTAGCAAAAACAGAATCCAAAAAAAAAATAAATCTATGAATCCGTATTAAAAATTAATCTGATCGGGTGAAGCAAAATTAGCATTTAATCTCTTATCTACAGGCTCCTGTTTTAATTTCTGACTTTTGCTTCCGAGATTACCTGAAAAGTGCAACAGATTAATAGAAATTCTGCTACCGACCAGAGTTGTTTCACAGTAACTTGCAGCAACTGTGGAGAACAGCATCTGGCTTTCATAATAAAACTTTGACTCAGATTGAGAAAATTACCGGTACCTCTGCATTTAACCCATCTCCTTGAGGAGCAGTGGGCTGCCATTGTGCGGCGCCCGGGGAGCAGTTTGGGGTTAAGGATCAAACCAGGTACTTGGAAGCTTCTCAGAGCGCAAGCTCACTGCGCTAACCACTAGGCCTTTTCTGAAACCTGAAAAACCTTTGGTATGCAGGAGTTCTTATTCATCCCACTGTCTAAAATGCAGTAATTCAAGCAAAAGGAGCCCCAACCAACAGTGGAATTAAATAATACAGTGGATGACAACATAATTAAAACTCTTTTATTCCCATTATGTAATGTTACTTCTGAGGTACTTATCTTTAATTGTTTTAACATGCGTAACACTGCATGTCCAAACAAACATCACATCCCTTTTTGAATTGAATCAGTGAAATTAACTTCTCCATTTTATCCTAATTTACTGAGATGCACCTATAGCTGTTTTTCCTGTATTAATGATGAAAATCCCTGATGGTCCAAGATGTTTCATTTATGTGGACACAAACATGAAGGCGCCATAGTATCTTTGAGAGGTTAACTTAAAAACATTTTATTTGTAAAGAGAGTCAGAGACCAGTTCAATTGCATAGCAATTTAATCCTTGTCCAATAAGGACTCTTTCCCTTACACAGGGAGAGGCCCTGTGGTCACTCTCAATCACGTTTTTAACCGACCAAGACAATATCAATAAAACTATTGATAAGCGCTCACTATCTTCAATAGTGACCATATTCAACAGGCATTGTAGGGTCTTAAAAGAAGCCGTTCCTACACACCATCACTAAATGTCCACTGAACGTCCCGTTTTAAACCATCGAATTACAGAAAATACAAGATGGGCACCATAACAATCAAATCCAAGGTTTGTTTTCGTGTTGAGTCAAAGGCTTCCAGGCTCATGTTGGGCAGGTGGTACAGAGAATCGTTGAAACGGAAAAAGAAGAAAAAAATATGAGAAACATGCATGGGGAGGGGATTAGGGCTTTTCCTAATGCCACATACTGAGTGTGTACACAAACAGGCACAGACGCGGATCTCCAAAAGGAGCCTTCCCAGCTCGTGCAGCGCAGGGATGTTTGATCGGACCCACAGGGTGGTGGTGTCAAAAAGAAAAAAAGAAAAGAAAAGCACTACACGAGGAGCTAGGGCTTCACATTGAGATGCAGCCTATACAGACACCGGCCCCTGTTTCAGGAGGGAGGTTCTACTACACATCACAATCTCTATCCACAGTTTGGAGTTCAGTCTCGGAATGTCAACAGCAGCACGTTTTGTTTTTCTCTGTCCTTTTGCGTCCCTCTCTGTGTGTCACTGCAAGTCTCTGTCCTCCAGATACCTGTACTCGAAGGTGAACCCCTCTTTTTTCCTCTGGCCCCATTTCTCATAGTCGAAGTAAATGTAAGTGCCCTAATGGGAGAAACGAGTGGAACCACCATTAATAAACCACAATGAGCAGCATGTTAGGCTTTGCAGAGGATGGAAAACTAGCTTAGAAGCTGTACCTGCTCAAACTCATCAGTGATAGTCTTGGGCTCTTCGTGCCTCTGAAACCACATCATGTACTTGGTGTGAAACCTCCATGATTGTTTCTTTAGAGCCTTGGCAGATAAATACTGAGCCTTGGTGCCCTGATAAAAGGAAGAACAAAACATTGAATCACCCTGCTGTATATAAAAAAAGAAAGGAAGGAAATACCAAGTAAGGTAAACTTTTACCTCCAGGTAGTAGAAGATGAAGAAGAGCGTCTCTGTGGACAGCCTCTGGTAGAACTCTATGGTGTCAGAGTGGTGGGGTGGTACTTGATGGTGGTATGGCAAGGTAGGACATGGGTTCCTCATCAGGTATTGCCTTTAAAACAAAAAGGCAATATTCATAACAGGATCTATTTCAGTAATTCAACAGAAAAAGGTTGTATAGATCAGTTACGCAGTCAATTTCTGTGTTAATTTCTATCGCTTTAATTAAATGTAATGGCTAACAGATACCCTAAATATCCAACAAAATCTTAATGATCTTTGTTTCATAATCTTTTAACAGTTATACCTGCTGACCAAACATTTCATTGCCTCCCCTAAACTTTCCATTATGACCATTATGCCCCAAATAAATCAAATTCACTGCAATGATGGCTGAATATCAGTGTAGACTTTATACTGGATTTCAAACATATAAACTGCTGTGCCGTTCCCCTCACTTCCCCATTAAATATAATGTTTAATTTCATATGGAAAGAGGACTTTGGACTACTGAAGAAAGCACAGACTCAAGCTCAGGAGAATTTCTCTCACCTTTTTGAAAGGCCTGTGCCTCAGCCTTTTTTTACCCGACTCTTTCCTTCCTCCTAATTTTCATCCATATACTTGGATATAACAGTCTGAAAAGCCAGCTTCTTCAAAAAAATATTTTGTCTACTTCCCTTTTTGAGAATCATTTAATAAATTGCTCAACTTAAAGTAAAATTTTTTGCTTTTCACTGGCTTTTAAAATATCTTAACAGAAAGAAATCATTGCATATTTTCTTATTACTCTGCCCTGCCTTTGCACCATAATGTGGTTTAATCTGTATTAAATTCTGTCTAATAATAGTCCAGAAAATTCTGTTTGAATCTAAAAACTTTCAAAACTTTGACTTTACTTTTCAAAAAGGGAATTTCTCTCCCTAAAATGACAAATTTTACCAGAATAACTAACCAGATTTCACATTATTCATTAGGTTTTTATAATAACACCATCTAGGCAGATTCATTTCTTGCTGCGTGTTTGTTTTAATGTCAAGATGTTACTTCAATTAAAAGGTTTTTATAAATGCAGCTTTTAATTAAAGAGTTTAAATGGGAATGGAAGCAGTGGGAGACAATATGGGTAACATACAATGATCACATCTTAAAACGGGGACCCTGTATTATCACCATCTGTTAAAACCTCACCTGATCCTCTCAGAGTCAGAGGGGTGAGGCATGTGCGTCCATGCAGACTCCTGCATCGCCTGCTGGTAGAGATGGTCTTTGGAGAGAGGAGTTGGGCCCAGTGGACAAACCCCAAGCGAAGGGGGGATGCTGACCTCCGAAACAGATGGTTGAGGAGCTGCAGGTGTGCCGGGCGCTGCCGATGAAACAGAAAAAATATCTACAGGAAAAAGGACAAAAAAAGAGGGAGATTTTCTTCAACTTCTAATTCTTTCAAAAGTAAAAATCCTAAACCTTGGGCTATAAGAAAGATGGCAATACTTTTTCTCTTGAGATTTCTTGAAAAATTAATTTATAAGAACAGAAAATTTTAAATATAACCAAACCCAACTATGAGGAATTTATACATAAAATGGTTCCACCTACAAATCTATAAACTGCAACTGCTTTTAATTGATCAGTTTATTCATAATGTTTGAGAAGTATTTCTACGTACAAACGGAGAAATGCTGTATATCCACCGTAAAGAGACTATGTCATGTTAATTTTGAGAGGATAATTCAGTAGAAATATTGCCTGACCGTTCAGCCCTCTGTCGGATACGTGCAGGTTGGAGATCTCTCCCTCTATTCCTGATCCCAGCGCCGCTCTCTCAGCCATCGCCTTCAAAGAGCTGAGGGGCTCCGGAGCCTGAGGAGGGGAAAGAGACGGGAGCTGATGGTAACATAAGGCGCTGAAGTTAAATGGAAACGGTAAAGTCAATTCATTCAAGACTACTGACATTTTGGAACAGAAAGGCAGTGAAAGAACATGAAATGAAAAATTGAAATTATTCTCCAGCTTAATCTTAATGTAAACTGAGACTATTACTTTTTGCATCATCAGTCAATTCTGGGATATTTGCCTTGTCAGAGTAGAAAGGTAAAGTTTTCAGCCCCAAACCATCTTAGTTTATAAGCTGCTTCCCATCTGTATGTGCTGCTGTATGACTGCAGGTTATACATAAATGAGTTTGGGGCAGTTAGGGTTGTTTTAGACACAATATCTAAATTTCAACCTATTGACAAGTATCTATAAAAAGACAAAGAACCAATAGACTACTAGTTATTCATTGAAATGGCAAAATAATCTAGTCCCCATCTCCAGTCCTCAAAAGCAACAATCCTGCCCCTTTGAGAAGCTGCTCAGCTGCAACACACCTGAACCAAATGAAGGCTGATTACCAGACTTATACAGACTGCCACAGGGGTTAATTTAGCTGCATTTGATTCAGCTGTGCTGGAGAAGAGGCATGCTAAATCAGTCCCTGAGTGTCCTGTGTATTTTAGAAGTTTCAGCTGTAAACATCTGAATCAGGCGTATTAAAGCAGGAAAAACTAAATCTGCAGATAGCGGCCCACAAGTTCTGACTTTGGACAAATTTGATGTAAAAGTTAGAGCAGTGGCTCTGGCACTGTAGATCCCTGCAGTAATGTATTTAGCGTTGATCCTTTATTGTTAAAAGAAAGCCACAGGTGGCATTCATATCATTAAAAACTAATTGAATTCCATTTAGACGCTTCAGTTCAGCAGTTCCTGCATAGCACAGACTTTAAAGCTGCTTAATAGAATGCTAAATGTACAAAGCCAATGTTTTTTAAAAAAAAAGACAGCAATTTGCCACACCTTTGTTCCTCCTGCTGAGAAAAGTATAAGCATCTACTGCTGAAAATTCAGAGATAAATTAAGTTTAAACAGCTTCCTGACTACCTGAGTGGAAGCTGGTCATCTCCATGCCACCATTTATTAAACAGAAACCCAGGACAAGCATTGTGTTCATATGATACAGTACATGTTTTTTTTCTTCTAAGAATCTGGCTTTTGGACTTTTATTACCAGCAAGTCATAATCATTCAAATTAAGAGGTATAAAAACTTATCTGTTTAACACAAGTTTTTTTAAAATAAATTTTACTAAGAGGCACAATTTTAGCAAAACAACTCCTATAAACTTTTGAGGCAGATTTAACTTTCTGTAAAAATCACAGAAACTGCTTTCCTTATGTGTTCGAGCAGATATTTATTAACTTTCATTTTAAAACTTAAATTGAAATTTCTAAAACATTCTGACATGGAACTGGAAAGCTAAAGGCGGAAGATCTGACTAAGTGTTTAGTAGCAAACAACTTTTTTTGCGTAGGAACCAAAAACTATGATCAGCCATGTTACACAACCTGGAAGAGACCAATCATTCCTAGACTAGATTATATAACTCTCACTCCTAAAAGCTTCTGGATCCAGTCTAAAAGAACTAAACAGATAGGGACCCAGCTTGAAACTTTGCTCAGAAAGAGTGGAATACACCGAATTTACATTTTTGGCCTTTAAAAGGTTCTCTTATCTGAAGCTCATCAATCAGCAATGAAAACAAGCAGTTGATCATAAACAAATTTTACCAAGTTAAAACTTAAATGAACGTCCTTGTGTAAAAGAAAAAAATAAATATTAAAATAAATTATTATCACGTAATAATTCAGAGTTAAAAATGATGCAGAAACTCACAGCTTAAACCGAGATCAACACTGCTTGCTTTGCTCACCTTAAGGCCCTCAGAGGCCTGAGGAAATGAGTGGGGCCCGTTGAGGAGACTCCCTCCACCCGGTGTGCTGTCTGAGAAGGAGGGGGAGGGAGAGCTTGGGGGCAATGTGATGGAGCTAATTAAGCTGGGGCCATTGTCCATCCTGCACAAGGAGGAGGGTGTCAAAGCAGGATCAAAACACGACAAACATTTGGTAAGGCAAACAGTAAAAGGATGAAGGAAAAATGACGGCTTACGGCTGGCTTGTCGAGGAGCTGAGTGAGGAGGCTTGGCTGCTTTGTGACTGGCTTGGTGTGCTTAGAGCTGATTCAGTGGAACTCTCTGCCACTACAGCACTGTAACCTGGAGGCAGGCGAGGGAAAAATTGGAGAAAATGTTTCTACAGTAAACGGTGATAAATACCAGCATATCAACCTACTTGGGCTTCCATTCTGCTTTAATCCACTCGGAGGTCTGGCAGGAGCAGCGTTCACTCCAGCCACACCGGCGTTCCCGCTGTTTCCGACCATCAGGCCAACTGCTCCAGGGGTGGAGTTGGCAGAACTCGGGGGCCCCTGTGATGCAGCGGGGGCCACGCTTTGCCCAGGGACCAGACCCAATATGCTGTTACCCAGAGAGATGTGGGCTGAGCTAGAGCCTAGCAAGCTGAGCCCAGACCCGGCTCCGTTGGTTGTGATTCCACTGGAGCTTGAATTGGAGATGGAATTGCTGCTCTCAGGCAAAACGCTGGATTGAGTGGTGTTGCTCAGACCAAGTCCACCAGATGCTGCTGCGTGCGCGTAAAGGGCAGACGTGGAACTTGTAATTAGGCCTGCCATTGTGTTTAACGGAGTGGTGTGGCCTGCCAAGCCTAAGCTTGGCATCTGGTTAGCATTGCTGGTCCCGCTCATGCCGCTTTTCCTTAAATCCGACCCGAGCCCAAGACTGGATGATGGGGTAGACCCGGAGTTGGACTGAGAGTTGGGAGCTGTTGAACTGGGTGTGCTGGGTGTGGACAGGGAGGGGGCGGTGGATGCTGGGAGAGCTTGGTTGCTAGGTGGACTGGGGGCATTGTTTGAGGGGACCGAAGGTTTCGTTTGAGGTGGCTGCTGTTGCTGCTGCGACTGATTTGATGGCTGAGACTGGTGCTGCTGCTGTGCAGATTGATGCTGATGCTGCTGTACCGCACTGCTGAAACTTCCTATGAGACTGCTGCTGGTGGGAACCGCGGGAACGCCTCCAACAACACTCGCCATAGACAGGGAGGAGGAAGAAGAGGACCCGGAGGTGACGGAAGAAGAGAAAGAAGATTGCAAGGATGGGGTACCGTTCTTCACAGGCGACTAAAAGGAAAATAACACAACAGAGTCTTAGTAAAAACTGTCACAACGGCAAATATACATATCTTTTGGGAGCAAATTTTACTGTGACTATTCGTGTCCAGCTATGCAGGAGATGGTACAAACTAAATCAGAAGTCTCCAGCCATGGCCCTACAGAGAAAACTCATTCGATTTCAGTGTCTGAGAGGCCAAGTAACCTTCAGCAACTGTGAGTCTCCAGGACCAAGGGTGAAGAGTGCTGCTCTACACTTTTCAGCTACTGACACAGCACAGATGAGAACCTCTCACCTGACTAACGTGACTGTCTGTCGACCGTCCCCTTTTCTTATCGTCCTCTGAGTTCTCCTATAGGAGGAGATACCTTGATGTGACAATCCACTTTCGAAAAGTTTATTCAGCACACCAGGCAGTGGATTAGAAAGCAGTTGTGCTTGATGACTTGATTAGACACAGTGCCCTGCAAAGGCTTACAAACCTCTTAAACCTCACAATTTCTTAAATAAGAATAGACTTTTGTGTTTTATTTTGATTTTGTATTAGGACCTTCAAATAGTACATTAATTGTGAAATGGTAAAGTTTTTAAACTTTAATTTGTCAATCTGCAATTTTCCTTCAATCTCATGTGAATGCACTACTTTGTGTTTTGTCAATACCCAAATATGTGAAGGTTTGAAGGTGTATGACTACTTTTGCAGAGCATTGTGCATGTTTAAAAGGAGAAGATGAGTAATTTTGGCATCCCTTCACCACCAGCGCAAAAGCTCAAACGATGCAAAACAGAACTTACAGCAGTGCAAGTAGCCGGAGACGGAGGGATGGGCGAAGAAGATGTAGTAGAGGTGGGAGTGCTGCTAGAGTGAAGGTACATGTCATCTTCCACATTGCCTGATGGAGAAGTGGCAACAAGTGCCGGAGCTACAAGAAAATAACAGACACGCCATAAGGAGACGCCTCTAAGACAGAAGAAAGGAAACCATCTTCTGAATTTATCTTTAGGGCTCTCTCACGGATGTCTTCCAGGTCTAGGTCATCATACAGGAACTCATTCTCCTCAAAGTCCGGGTCTTGACAGGAATCAATGTAGTATTCAACGTCATCCTTGATCTTCTGGATAGCGTCCACCGGTACAGAGTCATTGTCCAGCATCCGTAGAATTGTCTCCAACATGCGAATGTGGTATCTATGTCTCTCAATCAACCGCTTGAGTTCATCGATACGATCTTGCTTCTGCAGGACAAACAGAAAATAAAAACAAAATGCTGAAATCGCCATACTAAGTGTATATGTGTATAAATAAAGTCTTATTGAACGGTCATAGCTTATAACAAAAAGAGGAAGGCTTTACATCTTTATCGCCCTTCTTCTTCCGCGTCTGGACTGAAAGAGATTCCACCTCGCTCTCAAACTGATCCACCTGCATATTTAGTGTATCTATTGTATTCTAAAGGTGATAGGGAAGCCAGGAGAAGAGGGTTAATGAATATAGTTGACAGAAATTATAGGTGATGTCAAGTTTTTCCCTTTGTTTCTCTCCTTGCTTTTGATCAAACTAGCAGATAAAAAAGCAAACAATTTAAAAAATAAATATTGAACTTACCGTTAGCCACTGTCCCGTTTCTTCCTTTTCCCTCTGAGCTGGATCCACCTTCTGAGCAAGTCCTAAGCCTTCTTTAGAGTAGGCTTTTGTTTTCGTTTCACGTTCCACCACTTTGAACCGTTCCATTTGCTACAAACAAAAAAATTACATCGAGTCTCATCGATTTTTACTCTGACAATGTCTACCTTTCAAATGAGGGTTATTTTACTTCTGAACAGTCTACACTTTCATAGCTGTTGAGACAAAAATGTGTCTTTTTGATTAGGCTGCCACATAATCATACTGGAAGCTCTCAGATTTTTAGAAAAGACACAATGTAGCAATAGTGTTGCAAGCAATCATACAGTCAAAGCTCAACTTGATACAAAATAGCCATAACTGTGTTGCATTTGTAACAGAAATTATCACAACAATGACAGACAGGGTCATTGATGTCAATTGAGAGTCCCTTGTTTTTGTCACCAAATGCAGAACCAAATTCACTCTCTGCCACTTTATGGACAACACTTTGCAAAAATAAGGTTTGATTCCATTTTGACTTCAGCTCTAATGCAAGAAAAAATACTCAGGTTTTAGATTTGTTGTAGATTGTTTTTTTTTGCCCATCTATGCTGCAAATTCTCCCTTCCACTACATCTGAAAGATGCTACTTCGGGGCAAGTGCTGTGGAGAACACTAGAGTACAGGGAACTCATTGTCGTATATTAGAAAAGCACTGAAGACATTCTGAGCTGTTTGACAAGGTGTAAACATCTGAGGATACGTCCTATGTTGTCTTAAACACAAGAACCTGGTCAGCAACAAAACTCAAGTAGGCTGCAGAGTTCAGATTATGCTCAGTGGCAGCAAATGAGCCAAAAGTGTGCCAAGAAAACAATGCCCATCACCAACTCACCACCTCATGCCTGAACTGCAGCTAAGAGACCATAAGGACACCCGTTTTCGACTTATTTACCAGAATGTTGCAGTTAAAATCGAGCCTCATCAGATAATGCATCAGATTTTAGGGAACCTAAATAAATCCTTTATTTCTGGTTCTTAGCTGACAGGAGTGGCCTTTAGAGTGGTCTATAGATAATATTGCCCCTATAAAATTACATATTTTTGTTTATGATTTGCTTTATACGATTTTAACGAGTATTTCAGCTACAACTACTTCACTAACATCCCAGACCAACCTGTCCATACATGTCTGCCATTATCAAAGCATCAATGTCAAATTGGCTACTGCTCATTGGAAGTAGTCAAATAATCAAACTAATCCATCTTTAAATAATATTCACAAAACATTTAAGTCATAAAAACACTATTTCTTTACATAATTCTGGAAACTTCAGAAAAACGCCACCTAGATAAGTAAATACAATGTGTTGCTGCCATGTGATTGACAGAATCCCTGTTTGTTTTTACAAGATACTGAACAGGTTTATCAAACAAAGTGGCCCGTGAGCATATCTGCAGGTTATCTTCAAAACATTATTGTTAAAGGGGAATTGTTGTTAATTACGTTGGCCAGAAAAACAAAATCCAAAACTGCTACATTATGAACACATAACAAAGAATGCATACCGTTTCTATTAGTTTTCGGTTCTCTACTAGCTGCCGTTTGTCTTTGATCTCGTTGGAGGCCACCCATGTTTTTATTTGATCTCTCAATCGCTGCAAAAAAAAAAGAAAACACACAGCATTAGAACACATTCTAGCACTCTAAATGGCTACATTCCTATTGGTTTAAGTGTATTGTCCAATCCTACCTGAAGTTTTTTAATCTCTTTCTTGAGATCAGCTTCGTATTTTTCCTTCTGATTCGCATTAGCTGCATTGTGGAGCTGAGAAGCAGAACACAAATAAGTGTAAAGTTGAATATCTGAAGATTTTGATCCCAGTACAAATTTCCTCAAAGCTGGAAAATCGCTTACTTTTTGCCAGATGTCCTCAAACTGTTCAACACCTTCCGCTACTTTTTTCAAACATCTGTCAATTTCACCTGGAAATTGGGGAAAAAACATCCAAGCTTGGTTGCAGAAAAGTACAATGAAATCTAATCAAAAACACTTCAACCAAAATAGATGACAAAAAGAATGGGTAAAGTCTGCAGGTCGTTAACTGGCAGCACATGCAGCTTCACAGACACTTACCTTGTAGTTTTCTTTTATCAGCCATGGCTCTGACTACGACAATTTCCACATTCCGTCTGTCACAAGTGATCTGTGTAAATAAACCACACATGTATCACCACATAATACAAAATAAAACATAAATCAACCAACAACAGTAAAGCCGTATATCGTTTCGCTGTATCTGAAACTGACGTTAACATCATCTAAACCTACAGCTGACATTAGCAACACACATATAACACAAAAGCAGAACTAAAACACAATTATGTCGAAATTACACGTGACAGTCAATCCATAATTTACTCTGTGAAGTTATATGATCCTACTAACATTAACAAATATGACTGGTTTGGCACTCAGCTAAAATTAGCCAGCTAGCGAGCTAACGCTAAACACTAGCCTAACTCGTCCACCTCGCTCGGCTAACTATCGGTTTTTAAAATAAGCTTCACATTTAGTTTAGCTCATAGCCATGCATCGCTACTCTGGGCTCCATCGGAGCATTGATAAAGATATTTTGCATTTTGAAAGGTAATATATAAGAGAAACCGTTCCACTCGCCGATATGCTAGCAAATACCCGAAATGCTAGGTAGCAGCTCAGCTAGCCAAATTAAGGAAAAAGGGAAACTGGGTTAATCCGACCATGTATATTTATACTTGTGTGAGACATTTACCTAGTATATGGTTTTTCGTTTGTCTTATTTCAAATAAAGCCAAAACTATTTCCAGTAAATCTTCTTTACTTCCAAAATATATTTTCTTTTCGATAGACTCGCTCACTGTAATGTAGCTGAAGATGGACGGTAGCTAAGATCCCACCTCCTCGTCTATGCCCCGCCCTAAACCCATTCTACGAGATCTGATTGGACAAGAACCACGCCTGTCACTGATGCCTATCCGGTGAATTGGAGAACAGTCATTGGCTCTTCTGTTTGATGACTGATGCGCGACTCAATTTCTTTCCTTACTGGTCCACTATCATTTTAAATTATTATATTTTCTCTTTAAGTCAAATAAGAAATAAGGGACGCCCCTCTTACGTATGGCTGTTTGGCTGAAATGTTATTTGTGTAATTAAGACCAGACACATGTAATAGCTACATTTATGTATTTGAACAAAATATACCAATAAATTAGTTGGCTGATTATACAATACATATATATATATATGTATATATTCTTTTTAAAGGAAAGCGGTAATCAAATTCCAATAGCATTTAAATTAAAAAAAAAAAAAAATTTCTAATACAATGATCACAATTTTATATTTATGGATGTAAGACTTACCATTTATGATAAACCCTTAGATGATAACAAAAAAAAATTATAATAATATAAAACCATAACCATTGCGCAATATAAAAGTGAGAAAATATGTAAAATATTTTGGAACAATAATCTGTAGAGATAAAGCAACATCTGAGAAGAATAATATCTTTAGCAAAGGATAAAAAGTATTTTAAGTTTAAGCAAATGTGTGCAAAGAGATATCGTCTTTTGAAGTATCCTTCTATCCAGAGTAAATAACATAACCAAACTGATCTACCCAGCATGTTCTCTACTGGGGCAACCAAACATTATTAATACCATAAACAAAATATATCTTAACTTTGTTTAAAATAATGGAGTTCACAGATTAAAACATTACAGATGAATAAATTAGGAAGCAAATGTCTCCTGCTCAAGTTAAACTGAGTGGTTTTACTTTATGACCAAATAAATGTACATCCTTCTTCCTCCAAAAGTTAAAGAACTACATATAAAAATTTTAAATAATAGAAGCAGGTTGTAGTTTAAATTTGCTACTGATAAGTGTGCTACAAAATGGATGGATGGATTTTAAATTAGGTGAGGATGAAGAGAAAAAGTCACATAATTTCTTTCTTAGAAGTGCCACACAGGACTTTTGGAGTAAAACAGAATTCCTAATTAATAACATAGTAATACTGGGGAAGTACTTTGTTTGCATATATGTGTTACAAAAAATTTAAATGTTTTCATAAGGCTCCTAATTTGATTTAATCTACTCAAAAACTAAGTACTTGTGTACCTAAGTTGAAACAAGTGTTTTAATCCCTTCTAATTGTTTTATTGGATTTTAAATGTCTACAACTAAACTTGTGAAAGTTACTATGTATTAATCTTGTAATGTTTGTAATCGGTTTTTCTAACGCTAAAATAATACATATTTTCAAATACTTTATTTGAGCATGCATCAAAAACTTTGCTTAAAATGCCCTTGACATTTGGACATAAGAAATCATTGGGCAAATTATATTTAAATTCCAGGAATTCACTTTTTTAAGTAAAAAAAAAATCTTAAAAGATTTCAGCTTTGTACTTTTGGAATGGGTGGATATTGCACATGTTTGCTGTTCTTATTGATTCATTGAAAAATATGTTTTGACACACCTCCTCTAAGAAAAGCAAACCAGAATAAGAATCCTACCTGCTGCATCTGAGACAGTTTCCTACAAAGAGTAGAGTTCTGCATTAGGTGCTCACCTGTCGAAAGGATAGATCTCCCAAATGAAGGAAACCACTGAGCTTGAAGGGATTTTCTTTATTTTCAAAAATCCATCATTTTCAGAGCTAACCATACATAAAAGGAGCATCATCTTAAGTTTATCCTTTACCTTAAACATTGAATATTGTAGAACAACAAATCAGATGAATTTGCATCATTTGCTTTAACGTTTATCAAACTAAAATTAGTAATTTCAACAGTTAAGATGTCATTTTTTTTAAATCTCAATCACCAATAAGCAAAAGGCACAATATGTTTTAATCACTGTTTCTAATTAAATAAATTTATCACATGTCATTTTATTCTTTTGTCCAGTTGTCTGGTTTATTCAAGGAAAAATACAAAAAAAAAAAACGTGCAAAGTTAGACTTTGGAAAAACAACTTCATCCAATAATAGGTGAAGAAAAATGTCCAGAACACCAGTTAGTGTGACAGAGATGTTGGGCTGGGCATTTCTCCAAACGGAGTCTCTGACAACACAGACATGTCGGGATCAACCTAAAAAAGAAGGAAAACGTATTTATTGATCAAATTATATGTTTTAACTCTCATTTGTTTAAACTCATAGTGAAACTTTATGCATTTTTTTTAACAGTAAAGTTAATCCAGTGATGTCTGCTTCAGGTCCTCAAGGACCAGCATTCTAGATGTTTTCGGATGTTTTCCTGGTTCCACACGCCTACCTGAACGAAGTCTGCTTGTTCTACCCATGCATGGGTTCTCTCTGTGATATGGGTTATTCCCATTTTCTGAAAACCTGACTATTATATTATTGGTTTCTTCTAACTGTCCTTAGGAATTAATATGCCTGTGAATAGTTTTCTGTCCTATGTTGCCACCCTGCAAGGATAAGTAGTAGAGATGCGCCAATTAAATACCTGGATCGGATATCAGCTTCGATATTGACTAATTAGCTGGATTGTATATCTGCAATTTGTTACCAGTTATAGAACATCCAATCCAGTAAGCTTAAATGGGAAGAAATATGGTTCATTTTTTCCAACGATTGAGTCAGATCGGTATCGACCAATGTGCTCACCCAGGTATTGGTATCAATGGGATCGGAAAAAAATGAGTTAATGCATTTCTAATAAGTAGATACTGACGGATGGATGTATTTGAATATTTTTCCTTTGCTGAAATGGGTAAAAGGCTGAGGAGGTATTTCCCTTCTTTGAATCACTTAAAAATAACAAAACATAAAAGGTATAGGAAACAGTCTGCTGGTGATCAAAATTTGACACCACTTAGTTGTTCAGTAACCTGTTGATCTTTGTCCTTTTCTCTGGGTATTCTGTGCCTCTTCTTCTTTGGCCCGGCTACATGGTGTAGAGCCGAAGAGGAACCAGGGAAACCATTGAGTCTTTCTTCCTCGACTCCAGCACCAGAATCCAAGTGGGCTCCAGACTCGTCCTGGAGCAAACAAATACATTCTAAAATCAACAGCTTATCAGCAGGGTTGTTACTTAACGCACATTACATCAGAACGCTTTATAGTTTTGTCATGATCAAAGCGGGATAGTTTCATGTAAATTATGGTGCTACATTTTGCTTCAAATTGCCATAGAAGTTATATTCTAATCATACAGGACAATTTTTGGGGAAATTCTAGTGCTTTCCCAATTAAGTATGAGAAACACATATAGTCACAGATTAGGTTTGGTAAATAAATATACAGAGAATGGTAATTTATCATTTAAGTTTAAGTAAGGGGATGACCAGGAAAACCTTTTATTAGAATAGAAGAATATAATATAATATAATATAATATAATATAATATAATATAATAT